GGCTCGGGTCTCTCAGGCTTCGCTGGGGCTGACTTGGCTTGAAAAATAAAACAAGGAAAAAGATGGAGCCTGGGGTCAAGGCAACATGGGGCTGGGGCTCAGGGATCCCCTGAGCTCAGTACCCTGCCGCCACCCAGCCTGCCCCAGAATGGGGCAAAATCCAGTGTTTTGGGGGAAACATGCAGAGGGCTAGGGAAAAAAAACCCCACATCTGACTGAGCTGGGATCTTGGGAACTGGGTCTTTCTCAGCAGGATTTTCCCAGCCCAGACCAGAGAGCTGACCACTCTGATGCCAAAATGACCCACGATGCCTTGTGCTCATGCCAAGGTCACTTGCCCTGAGGTGGGGGGAGCATCTCAGGGTTGCTCTGGGGATCAGGGGGTCCCCCTCCCCCCTCCAGTGGTGCTGTGGGAGGGGTACAGCTTAGGCCAGGCACTGAGGCTGGGCTGGGACCCAGGGGTTCCCAGCTTGAGGGCTTTGTCCCCCTGATTCCGGGGCTGCAGTGGGGGATCAGGCCAGGAATGGGGGCCCCCACTCATGTAGCTTCACATGTCTCTGCCTAGGAGCTGGGAAGTGGGGCAGGGATTTAAACCCATAACTCCCTGGCCAGGAGGATTTGGGGGTGGGGGGAGGTGCTGGAACACAGCATTGGTTAGGGGGAGGTGCTGGAACATACCATTGGCTGTGGGGGGGCCTGGTGCCTTCCTGCCCCCCTCAGGTCTCTCTGCTGGCAGCTTCCTGACCACAGCCTTGGCCCCAAGTGGAGCTGGAGGTTTCCGGGGGGGGACCTCTGCCCGCCTGCCCCCCCCAGCACTCAGAACCTTGGGCCCATTGCTGGGGAGGGCTGTGGGTCGCTTGCCCCCTGGGGGAATGGCTTTGGAGGGGGGCTTGGCTTTGGCAGGGGATGGGAGACCCCCAGTGGCAGCAGCTGCAGGGGTGTCCATGGTGAGTGGGGAGGGGGGTCTCCCTGCTGGAGCTGAAAAACAAAGGGTTAATACTGGGGGGAGGTTGGGTCCAGCCAGCACCCCTCCCCCCACAGCTGGGAAAGGAGCAATTTCCCCCCAAGCCTTCACCACCCCTGCCCAAGGCAACAAGCCATCTCCTAATCCCCCCCAGCCAGATCTGGTGCCTCACAAGCCTGATTCACCCCACTGATCCCTGTAAACCCAAGATGAGCTGTTGGATCAGCACAAAAGCGCCGCTCAGGATCCTGAGACCCCCCCCACCCAGGCAACAGCCTCAGTGCGAGTGCAGGGCATTGCAGGTAGACATCCCAGCGCCCGCTGTGGCAGTCATGTACCCCATGGCTCTTACAGCCCCCCCAACTGGCTTTGACCATCCTCAAACCAGGACTGTTGGCAAAGAGCACAGACCTCACTCTCTGCCTCCCCCCCCCAAACTCCCAGCATCCCCAAGCCTGACCAGAAACCAGGTATGAAGGACAGGCCCCAGTGCCCCCTCCCAAAGCTGGGCCCTCCCAGAGCACACCCCCCCAGAAACCCCTCAAGCTAGGACCCCCACTTCTATCAGAGACTCCATCACTGAACTAAGACCTCCCCATCAGAGCCCCCCTCCCCACCAAGCTGAAACCACTCCCTCCCCTAGACCGAGGGCCTGTTCTTCATTGCTGCCACCCATCCCCAGGCTGTACCCCAGGACCAGCCACCTCTGGGTTCATCATTGCCGGGGGGGGGCACGCGCGGGGGGCTGTGATCTCCGCCCTCCAGCCCCAATTATTAGAGATTAAATTCAAAAGGGGGAAGGGGGGGTGGTGTCCTGAGTCAGCAGGGGTGGAGGAGGTGGGGAGACCAGAGGCTCCGGCCTGGCTGATCCCAGCTAATCCCGGCCCATTGATGGAGCTGATTCCAGCCTGATGCTCTGGTGTCAGATCAACTCCCCCCTCCCTCCCAAGTGGCAACATGCCATTGGGGGAAACTGAGGCAAGAGAAGCCCCCCAGTGGGGAAACTGAGGCCAAGGGGTGGGGGAAAAGAACCCAGGAGTCCCCCAGCCCAGCATCAGCCCAACCCCTGAGGTCACACTGCCAGCTGCTGGCAGGAACTGGAGCTGCCAAACCATGCGTCATGGACCCCACACTGCCGAGGGACAATCCCCAGCTAGGGGGGAATCCAGGTGGGAGGTATGATCTGCACACCCCAGCACCCCATCCCGTCACAGAGCCAGGGAAAGGGGACCCAAGCGTCCAGGCTCCCCTGCTCTAGCCCTCAATCCTGTCCTTCATCGGAGGAGAGGACCCAGGTGTCCAGTCACCCAGCCCCTCCCCCTGCCCCAAGCACCAGACCCCACCTGGCTCACAGAACCAGGGAAAGGACCCAGGCATCCTGCACCCCCCACACTTCCAAGTCCCAGTTATGGGAGGTCCCCCATGATTGGGGTATCCCCAGGCCCCCCATGCAGAGACCCAGGAAGATTTTGGGGGAAAGGGGGGTTCTTGGCACAGGTGAGAGGTCACTGTATGGAGGAACTAAGGCACAGAGGGGTGGGGTAAAAGGACCCAGAAGTCCTCAGCCTGGCGCCTGAGGCCCTAGGCCACCCTACCAGCTGCTGGCTAGAATCAGAACCACCATGGCATGTGTCATGGGCCACACATCCACAAGGGCAAGTCCCCAGGGGGAACTGGGGGCCAGGGGCAGGGATAAGAACCGAGATCTGGCTACCTCCCCACCCCCACTTCCCCTCCCTCATCATGGCCCCAGGCAGAGCAGAGGATTATGGGAAAGGATCTGGGTCACAAGTGACTGATGATGTTACTAATGAAGCCTTACATAAGGCAACCAGTGACATCACATGCCTTCTCCCCCCCCACACACTAATGCCAGCAGTGACCTTAGGTGACCCCAGCCCCCTGGCTCAGCCTGGGTCCTTCCCCCTTCTCCTCAAGGACTAATGGGGCATTGTGGGCCCAGATACCTGGGTTCTCCAGCCCTGCACCCCACAAGCTGCCCTAGAACTTTGCCCCCAGGGAAGAGGTGGGGGCAGAGGCAGATGTGGTCTGCAGTCAGCAGCTGGCTGGCTCTAGAGCTAAGCTGCTGTGTGTCATGAGCCCCATACTGCTGAAGTGATTGCCCAGGAATAAGGAGCAGGGTAAGGGGGGTAGGGGAGTGGTGGGGTGAAGGAGGCAGCAGGAGAAGCCTTCCCAACCTCCATCTCATGATCAAAAGCCCCCAGCATCTAGTACCACCCCCTTCCAAGAGGCTGGCAATAGCCAGGGGTAGAACCCAGGTGTCTGGGCTCCCAGCCCCCACAGCCCCTGCTGCCCACCAGTGAGCTGGGAGAGAACCCAGGAGACTAAGGATCCCAGCTCTGGCCCCTAACTCCCCCCACACAAAGCTGGGAATAGATCCCAGGAGTCTGGCCCCTGCCCAACTTGCTCTAACCACTAGACACCATCACCACCACCCCCAGGCCTGTTTGGGCACTGCCCCTGCCCATGGTCCTTCCAATCCACTGCCAGACCCTGGGGTGGGGGGTGGAGAGAACAGCCCCCCACCCCCTGCCCCAACCAATCCCTGCTGACACCCCCCCCCCCCCCCCCCCTCCCCCAACCAATCCCTGCTCAGTGTGGCTGCCAGCATTTCCATGGCAACAGGGAACTTTGGGCTCCAAAGCAGAAAAGTGAATGGACTGACCCATCCACCACCCCCCCCCCACCCCACAAACCCCCCCCTGATCTGCAAAAGAACCTAAGCATCATGGTTCCCAGCCCCCCCCCCCTTCCCCCTTTGGGATAAAACTGGGGCAAGCTCACAACAGGAGTGGTGGGAAGCTCACAACAGGGGCTGGTGGGTCTGTCCCCCTCTCAAAAGCCCCCAGTGGGGTCCCCCACTGCTCCAGGCAGGGACTAGGGCCCCTCCCCCATGGTGGCCCAGGGCTCCCCCCTGCCAGGTGGGTTCTATGGGTTAACCTGTAGCAGATATAACCAGAGAAGGTTAAAGGGAACACTTGTTAACAGTATTCACAACCCTCCAAAGAATCCAAGCATCCTGCCACTCCCCCTGCTCCAGTTCTGCCAGGCCACAACCTGGTTGGCTCTTAGAAGGGGACCAGACCCCCCCCATTCCCCATGCAGAGATCTGGGGGTGGGAGGGCCAGCAGGTGCAAGAGAGCACCACTTGGGGAAACTGAAGCAGAGATGGGGTGGGGGCGAGAAGCCAGGAGTCCTGGGCTGACTCGGCAGGTGAAATATCAGTAAGGAGGACACGGGTTGAACTGGGATTCAACACGCTGGTGCCCCCCCTGCAGTACCCACAGCCACCAGGAGGTGGAGACCTAGAGGCCCAGCCTGGGCCTTGGGGGCAGCAGGTGCCCATCTACACTAGGGCATCTCTCAGGGGGTGGATGGGGAGTGGGGGCAGCTCAGCTGTGACCTCTGGCCCTATCCTTTATAGGCTGCTGTTGTTGTTTGGGGGGCAGGGGCTGACTCCTCCTCCACCCCTGTGGACCCCATCCCAGCAGCCCCCATGCAATCAGGGGACCCAGACACCTGGGCTCTTCCACGTGCTTTGGGGTCAGGGGTCACTTCTCTCCCAGCCCCACCCTCTCAAAGAGCCAATGAGCACCTGTCCAGCCAGGCCCTGATGGGGGTGAGGGGAGGGGGGTCTGGTACCTGATAACCCCCACCCCATAGTCAGAGACCTCTCTGCCCCCCAGACACACCTACCTTGCCCACCCCACCCACCATCAGCCCCCCTCC